ACCCAGTACACACCCATCGACGGTTTTTTGGAGCGAACAAGGAATGGTCCATATGTAAAGGATGATTTTGAAGCGAACAATGACGGTATTACTTTAATAGTTTGATAACTGTTTATGCAACTTGTCACTTGGCTTGTGTACAGATTGTCCCTTCAACGCCACTATAAGCTAGATTATTGACCCCACCTACCTTAAATGGAACAAGGAGCCTCCTCGGTGTCGTGTTGGTGTCGTGTTGACGTCCTAGTTAGCTCCATGATCAGAATTCGAGAGATACATTGGCAACGGGAGAGAAAAAAAGGTCCAGAAGTCCAAAAAGACCCGTTACAGTAGGAATTATGCCAAACTGAAAGCTTGGGTTAGCCCCTTGGAGATGAACCTGGTTGTGTGGTCGAGATTAAGAACTCATTTGCACTTGTTTTGCTGCAGCGCCTTCGTAGAATTTTTGATCAGCCCCTTGACCATACACGAACAGGTTACAGTATGGCTGGGACAGATTCAATTTCCGTTTTCGCGGAAGGAACGTTCGAAGAGCAGGCAAGGATTTCAAATATGGGTATTGACTGATAAGATCTCAACTTTTTATGACAGATCCAGGAGTTGGTGAACTATATTGTTCGAAATCGATCTGAAGAGGAACGTGCCGCATTTATTCGACCATTCCAAGATGCCCTCAAGACAAGCGAAGGTCAAAAGCCCCTTGAGGATGATGTCGAGTGGAAGCGCAGCCTATTCCAGATGGTATCTGTTGAAGTGAAAACCCTTGGGGACGGGACGGAGAAGGGTGCGTGTTACACACCACGAAATTTACCCATGCTTATCGCGGTGAAAGCAGAGATTGAGGGTTTCTTCAACCTTCTCTTTTCTCATCTGTACTCGTTGCACGCGTCTGATGGGGCCGACACGAAAGCTTACGTCGATACTTTCATTCAACTTCTCACACAACAAGCCCCGACACAAAAGATCCTCACTTACCGCATGTGCGCTCATTCATTTCTCTACTTTTGTCTCTCCATAATTATTGGCTCAGACTATCCAATCTTTTCAATGCTACCGAACACACATCGCCACTTCGTCCAGTCATTTACACCGCCCTAATACACACGGCCAGCGCTAATGGCGACCTTGATGCACTCCAAATCACTCGTGCAAATGTCGACAAATGGATTTCGGAATGGAACGTCCCCCAAACTGAAAAAGCATCTTTCCTTAAAACCATCTCTGGCGCATACGAGGCAAACTCTCAGACGTATGTGACTTCTCGTTTACTTACTATCCTCGGAGTCGCTCACTTCCCTCTCTAGTGATAAAGCCTACGAATATGAGCGACTTTATATCGAGACCCTCCCATCAACATCGACTGCTGCTCATGACGGCGCTGTTAGCCTGATAGCTACCGCTCTCAGGTTACCCACTGTCTTTGACTTCGACCCTCTATTCAAAATCGACGCTGTCGTCTCTGTAAAGGACCACGAGCTATACTCCCTCCTTCAAATATTCCTTAGCCAAGGCCTCCCAGAATTCACGGCCTGGGAGGGTTCACACCCTGACGCCCTCGCCAAATACAGTGCGTACGCTGTCTATGGTATGACCTACGACTAATATGTTGCTCGTACAGGCTTAGACCGCGCACAATTGGAATGCAAAATCCGTCTGCTTACCCTGGCGTCACTTGCCTTCCAATATATTGGCCGTGATTTACCATACTCAAAAGTAGCCGATGCGCTCCAAGTGGACATCGCAGAGGTTGAAAAATGGGCCATTGATGGTAACACAGCTTTCATACCTAAGCAACATAATTCTATTGTTGACCAAAATTCCAGTTATCCGGGCGCAATTGGTGTGGGGTAAACTGTCCCAGACAGCGCAGAACCTGCATGTCACAAGGGCGACCGCACGGACGTTCGAGAAGGTCCAGTGGAAGGCTCTGGAAAAGAGGCTCTTGGCATGGAAGGCTGGGCTCAGCGGGGTCTTGGATGTTGTTGTGAATGCGAAGCGACAAGCAGGACTTGGCCAGCCTCAAAACGTAGCCTGAATATAGATGATGTCATATCCGGGAATGAGAGGTGCTTTCCCATTTCTAATATAGTTTTTGAGCCTTGGGAACCTCGGGCCCAGTTACTTATCGGTCATGGAAACGTTTCAAGTCTATCATATTACCACGAAGCCCCGAAGAAGTGCTGCCCATGGGCCAAAAGAAACCACCCTCGAATTGAGTTGTCATGAGGAGTAGCTACCTCGCCTGATCTCCAACGAAGCCCTCAGATATAAGGAGCACATGGAGGTACGATTTCTCTCTGTGACATCTATTTCCGTCAATACGACGTAAGTATATCCAAAAGCTATCTACCTCTACATCTCCATGTCTATCACCATTCACCGTCAAACCCGACAAATCCTAGAAATCCGTCATTAGCTTCTGAATCTATCAATTACGATTATGCAAACATACCAGTCAGGAGAAATATAGGGAAGAATCGCTTCTTCTCGAGTGTAGCACACCAGTTCCAGGCGCTGGTGAGCCTTCCGTCGATGCAGCTACCAGCATCGAAAAAGTTGTCGGCTCCAGAGCCATCGAATCCATGACGGAAGAAATCACCCAGGATCTCTCGCATCAGGTTCTCTATCGATCCAAACTCGTCTTCTATGTACGAAAGCAATGCTGGTTTCTCGGCGAACGATGGTATTTGAGAGAGGGTGGTGCAAATGGGGAGAAGGATGCGGTATATTTGGGTATATTTGTCGATGAACATCAAGGCATTTGGAACGTTGTGATCGCCCATGTGGATGACGCTTGATCCTATCCAGGTCCCAACGCTTTTTTGGGCCTTGTGCAGGATGTTGTGCATCATGCGGGATGTTTTTGGGGATGCCTGAACGCGATTCAAGCCCTGGCCAGTATCACGCAGGCGGTATGGGACGTTCTCAGCAAGCAGATCTTGCTCAGTCAACGACCAGAGATGGAACATATCTACAAAAAATCATTTAAGTCTATGACTAGTCCATGATGAAACCATTGTCTTACCATGTAGAATTTCTTTCCACAAAGTCAAGCTTTGGAGGACATAGGCGTACTGCTTTCCGTGATCATGAGAGAGCCTCGCACCACCTCTTCCACTCCGGATAGCAAGGCTCCTCTTGCTGTCAGTAGCTTGTGTTGGATGGAAATGCTCCTTCAGAAAGTTTATCATCCGTTCGCATGGGTCTCGATTGGCGCGAAGAAAGGCGTGATTATCACCGATGGAGTAAAGGCATTGGCGTATCTTTTCTTGGCAAAGGCCATTCTGTTCGTAACGTGCTGCAAGGGTCTCAATAGCCCGTTCCTTGCTTTTGATATCCCTTTGAACCTCTCGCCGTGGGCGGCCTTCGGAATAGATTTCCTTGGTTGCAATGGTGACGAGGTCGTCTCGTAGGAGATCGACCGCCCCATGCTGCTCCAAAACAGTATACACAGTCTTGATTGGCCGAATGCAAGAGAAATTCAGAAGGTCCTTAACGTCTGGTGATTGGCTGTCCTGTAGAGAAGGTCAGCAGATGAAAATAATACACAAAGTGTCTCCAACCTGTAGGAGGTATATGAGCTTTCCGTACGTAGTCCGCATCTTGTCGGGGTTCATGATCTTGTGTCTACGCCCCAGTTCAAATATTTGTTGATAAAACTCTGCGTTAGATTCGAAATCACGATCCGTGAAGAGCTCCTGTCCTTGTTTGTAATCTGCTGCGAGAAGGAGGCCTGACATGATGGCGCAAAGTTCCCGGATCTGCTGGACAATTCTCTTCGCCTTGGATAACCCGAAGCCCAGTGTGTCGATTTTGTCGGTGTACTCGGACACGTTAAGCGCAGCCTCTAATAGACGAAGGTACTTGCGCTCGTTGAGAGTTAAGCGAAGGGGGATGTACTTCGCGCGGTCGACGAACCATTCGCCAACCTTGGCACCAATCGCTGGTTGAGCACCAAGCACTTCAGTAGAAGGCCCAGCAGCGACTGGTTGCCATTCCTCGTCATCAGATTCATGCTGCCCATCTTCTTCCACGTCCATCTGTTGCAATTCTTCAATTAGGCCCAGGCGAAAAGCAAAAGGGTAACATACAGAATCCTCGAGGGTGGCATCAGGCAAACTTTTGCTTGCCAGTGGTTTCGATGTGTGCCCAGGAAGAGGTTTCGATGTGTGCTGCTTCCTTGATCCCTTCCTGTGCTGTGCGGCAAAGCACACTTCACAATACATATCAGAGCACGTTTCGCATAGCACCTGGGCTGGCTGATCTTGAGAATATCGAAGCAGGTAAGCTAATCATATAGAGGTGGACCAGGGCGTGAACAGACTGACCTTCGCATTCGATACAAAAGCCTTCTGCAGCATGATTCTCGGCGACTTCCTCATCCCACCCGGTGGCGCTTATTCCATTGCTGAGAGTGCCTGGATGTTCAACCGCTTCATGATTATCGCTCAGTATGGTTTCTAGAGTGAATGCAGCAATAGGATTGGTCGGCTTCGATGCTACATCGACAGCAGAAGGTGTTTCTGCCATTACCAAGGGTGGGGAGACTGTAAGCAACGTGGACGTCGGCCGGGGAGCAGTAATTTTCGACGCGTCAAGCTTCACGTGGCTTTAAATTTGAGATCGAAGATCGGAATAAAATTTGCTTCCACCACAGTCCACCACTCAACGTACTCAACGCTCAACCACTGCTGCTTCCACTTTCCTTGTCTGTGCAAATTTCCAATCGTGTACCTGAATATTTTTGTGGTCTCTTCGCGTTGAGCTGCGTAGAGTATTTTCATGCCTTTAAGGAAGGGGTCGTTATTACATAGTACTCTTTTTTGAATAGACACGTTACCTTCGCACCAGACTAAATTGACACTCCTGTCGTTATTCGCTCAATAGTACAGATCCTCTTTTTTCATATACACACACCTCTCGCATCTCGTATCTGAAGCCCGCCAAACATAAACTGGGCCACAAAGAATCCCTGCTTGCCCAGAATGAAATATGTACAAGCCCCCGTTGTCTAATGGTTATGACGTCAGACTTCTACCATTGTTTATATCTGGATCTGGAGGTTGCGGGTTCGAGTCCCGCCGGGGGTTCTTACACTTTCCAAGATAAGAATTTTGCTACTCTCAGCCAACCCAGGTAAAGTAAATAACATCAATGCAATAACAACCAATTCTCCACCATGTACGGACACACATGAAATGCAGATAAAAGTACATTGTCGGTATATGATATTCATGACATGGTATAATGTAGTGATAGGTAATATGATTGAATCCGTCCGATCGTAGACTATTTCCTTGCCCGTAATTGTGCTCTCAAGAGTCCATTTTCTGTCTGCATCGAGTTCAGCTCATCAAGCAGCGCAATTCTCTGCGACTGCTCCGACGACCGCATAGCATCGACCTCGTCACGCGCCAACTCAAGCTCCGCTCGCGTTTCCACCAACTGCCCTTCTAGTTGCTTTCGCACGATCTCAGGAGCAGCTGCAGCCTCCTCAGCAAGTGTGAGTGTTCGGGCGCTCAAGGTGTTGTTGGCCTCCGTCAATTGCGCGCAAGTTTCTGCTTGTTCAGCAGCCAACATCTCCAGTTGCCGCTTCTCATTTTCGATACGTTCCAGAGTGGTCTGAAGCTCCTGCGTTTCCTCCATCCTATATCCGAGAAAGATACGGTCAAAAGAGAACCCATAAACAAAAGTGGGTAACAAGGGCTTACAATGCAGCTTGCTTCGAAGCCATCGTCATGTTCCTCTCCTCCAGGGTACGAACTTGTTTTTGGTATGTCTCCAAGGCGGTGTTGCCTTCCTGCGCCAGCTTTTGCGCGCGTTCGGCATTTTTCTTGAGTAGATCATGCGCTTGCGCGAACCGCAGCAGCCGCTCGATCAGTGCACGATCGTCCTGAATAAGGGCTTGCACGCGTGCCGCGAACGCTTCGATCGAGAACTCGCCAGAGCCAACGGCTGGTGACATAGGTTGCCGTGTCGAGTCGTACAGTGACTTGAGCGAGCGCACGTCCAATTCGGAAAGTGATGTCACAGTTTTGGTAAGTCCTGGACTCTGGGCAACCGTTGGCGATCCCGTGCGGTACTGTCCCGACCTATTGAACTTGGCAGCACGCGCTTCCGGCGATGGAAGTACAGCCCAGAGGGGCACGAGAATTTGGGTAATGCGGCCGACCGAGTCGCCAGAGGGTGAGACTGGAGACCGTAGGTTGCTTGCGTCTTTTATGCTCGCCTGTTCGAAAGCAGCCCTCTCTGACACTGTGCGTGCCTCTTGTCGTGCCTCATCACGTTCCCGACGCGCCTGTTCAAGATCGCGAGCGAGCGCCTCACGTTTGTCTAGCCCAGCACGGACATCCTCCTCCAGTTTCCTCCGCAAAGCATCCCACTCACCCTCCGCGCGTAAATGGGAGTCCATTTTCCCATGTAGAGTCTCTAGGTGCGTGCCAACAGACGATAAGAGCCCTTGCAACGACGGGTCTCGGGAAAACAACACAATGCCATGCTGCTTGACCAGGGACCGTAGCGCGTCAAGGCCAGTGTCGAGTTGTCCGTGTGCTTCTTGCAGAGCTCGTTCATCCTCGTCTCGCACTCTATCCATTTCTTGTTGCAAACGTGCCAAGTCCTCCATTTTCTCATCCTCCAGTTCGTTTTTCCGCCGCTCCCATACGTCTCGCTCTGCTTGCCACTGAGCTTTTATCCGCATTATCTCACCGTCCTTCTCCTGCAGACGCCCTCGAAAGTCAGCGAACTCTTGTTCAGATCCAGCCGAGCGAGTCTCTCCCATCTCTTGCACCTTCACAGCTGCTTCTTGTAACTGCGTCTTCTCTTCCAGCCATATCCTCTTTTCCTCCCGCAGTCCCTGCACTGCAATGTCCAACTCTTCAAGCTTCGAGGTCTCCTCCTGTAAAGCCGTGATTGTCTCCTCCGCGCTCTGCAAATCCATACTCATCATCAGCTCTACCTCTTCCTTCTCCAGCTTCATCATCGTCAGATCCCGTGTTAACTCGGCTTGCTTCCTACTCGCAGCTGCCAACGAACCCGTCGCTGCCTTCAGTTTCTCCTCCAATGCAGTAATCTCTGCAGCTGCTGCCTCGCTCGAGAGCTGACGCCGAGGGACAACAGTGTTGGCATGTCCGGCGAAAAGATGACGGCCATCGAAGCGTGCCTTGGTAGAGGTAGAGACGCCTGTCATGCTCGACGTCGCTGGGCTCATCAACGTGCTCCGGTTAGACGAATCGTATCCCGAATCCTCTCCGGCCCCATTACTTGGCCCTTGTGTTGCAGCCTTTTCCAAACTTCGTACAGAATAGGACAACACCCCTGCGCGATGCTCCAGCAGACGTCGATGCGCCTCGTGTGTCCGTTCCGTTAGCCGCCACAACTCTTGTTGTGCAGAGTCGACGCGACTGTTGGCAGAGGCAATTTGCTCTTCGGCTTGTTTTGAGGGTTTCTTTGAAGCTTTGCCGAGGGAGGCGGCGGCGTCACGCATCTTGGTCTCAAGTGTCAGCTTTCTGGACATGGCTTCAACACGGGTAGACAGGACTTCATGTTCCTGACAGTAAAAATAGCTCAGTATGAGATACCGTAGTTTAGCGAGTATTGTACCTTCGTCAGTTCGTCTATCTGCTCAGAACTGAGAATTTCAAAAGCCCGACTGTCGACGACGGCCTGCGAAGCTAAAAGGCTAAGAAGAAGCTCGTCCCTAGTTGTCGTGGCTCCTGACATGCTGCTCGCACCAGAACTACGCTTATCAGACAAGTTTGAAGACTGTGTTACCAGTTTACGAAGCGTCAAGCCCTTTGCTGGCGGTACTGGAGACGAGGGTGATGGTGAATCCGCGTACACTGGATTTCGACGATAGTCATCTTCCGGCGGTGGTGTTGGCTGGAAGCGTTGTAGACCTGAGTCTGGCTTGATAGTAAGGATTGGTGTGGGTGGCGTTGCTGTACTTGGAGACGGTGGAGGCCATGAGGGCCCATTGAGAGGCTTTGAACTGAAAGGGAGAGCGGAAGGGGGTGCATCCGTAGTGGCCGACTGTGGCGGCGTGCTGGTCGACGCTGCGGCCCCGAGGAACCTGCGTACGCCGTTCATGGCGATGACGGTGGTGTTAGTTGAGGACAAACATGGCGACAGGCAAGGTCAGATGTGACCCTAACCCTAACCTCAGTCCGAGTTTACCATCGGACGCAGATGTACATATGTAGCCTCATAATGGTCAATGATCAGATTGTTGCAGTGCTGAATGACTGTGGGAAAACTTCATATAGGTATACACAATATCATACCTACCTGTCAATATTATTCACGGAAAACTCACTGAGTCACTGGTGTGACATACAGATGGGACCCCAACCTGCCCGCGTATCATTCCATCATCAAAATAGACCTTGACCCAGGTCGGCAACCGTACTTGTACGAACAAGGGAAGCGATAATCGCTCCTGCCGGCGGCAAGTGGGCCGGGTAACTAGATCCCGCCGGCCTTGCCGCTGTTCTTGTGTGAAACATGGCGCATTTCTTGCCATACTTGCCATATATGGTAAACCAGACCAAGCCCATATGTTATGGATTTGTTCCGTCCGTCTATTCCGGATTATAAGAACAAGAAAAATGAGCCCGAACAGGTCCGCACTCAGGTTGTGAGGAAGTCTTATGACAGGCGGTCGTATTGCGGGTGACTTTCTCTTTTATCTGGCTGAGTTTGTGCCTTATAAATGAATGACTACATGACGCCGTTATATTGAAGGGACCCTGCCTTGAGCGATATAAAATGACAGAACCTTCCATCATGCCGGGTAAGTGGTACATTAGTGCATCACATTTTTACAGCGGTGGGGGAAAAACCCCAACTGATCTATCGATCCTCTTCCACCACATCCGCCTTCTCTTCTGCAATGACTGCCGAAGAATCGGCGACCTCCTCTAAATCAGCGCCGCCCGCCTCCTCGGCTCTATCGTCAGGATCCCCCGCTTGACCACCCAATTTCGCCGTACTCGAGCCACCCTTCCCCCCCGTATGAAATTTGCGCTTGGGGACCACGGAATACAACGCCTCTTCCCAGTTCCTCGTCTCTACCCATTTCAGCAAAATTTCGAATACCTGGTTAACGGTCAAGACTTTGCGGGTCGGGAGCGAAGCAAGATATCGGCCGATAGGCAGTCGGGCGGTTCGTACCCCAGAGCCTTTGGCCTTGTCCAGGCATAGGTTCTGAGTGCAAATTTTAAATCCAGTTCGGGGATCGACGCCGTTAGGAGTATAAGATCAGACCAACCTTGTAACGGTTGTGATCGCAGATACCCCCGATGATGTACGTTTCGTTGGGTTTCAACTCGGTGAGTTCCTCTTCAGAGTCTGCAGTGAGGTAAACCACGCTTTGGCGCACATCCTTTGTGGATTGCGCGGCACTGGTGGAAGGCTCGGCTGGAGCGTCCGCCTCGGAGAGCTTTTCATTTGCTTTACCTTCTTCTGGAGGGGAAGGCTCTTCGCCTTGCCATATTCGTTCATAGCCTTCACGCCACCATTCGGTGTGACTCCATCTCTTGTAGCCTGCATCGTTCATGCCCTCGAGGCGATTGAATGTACGGCCATTGATGGAGGTGTAGAGAAGGGAGAAAGGGTATGCAGCATTTCGGTTCGCACTGTAGGTGTACGCCAGTTGAGAGCATAGGGATATTATTTCCTAGACCCAACGGATATAACGGACAGGGTACAGATGTAGAGGAATCACCTACCTTCTCGTTCATCTTATCATCAAACCCGAGGTCGACGACGACCCTGCCACCGAAGTGAAGTCGAGGTTTCTTCTTCTGCCTCTTTTTATCCTCGTCCTCATCGAGCTCGCCCGCGGCACGTTTTGCCTGGATGGCGCGCTTCTTCTCCTTCTTTGCCTCCTTCTCTTTGGCTCGGCGTTCTAACTTGTAAACCGCATGTCGCTCTGCTTTTGCAGCTCTTTTCTGTGCCTTTTTCGAGAGAGGCTGCTGGATATCTGCGCTCGGACCAGGCTCGGGCGATGCGGGGTCGACGGGCCGCTGGTTGTCGCCGTCCGACATGTTCGCGGCAGAGTAGTTGTTGATAAAAAGTTTGTGGAAGGAAT